AAAGATGATGAGATTGTGCGCGACCACGTCGACGACCATTTCACGCGGCGCCGGGTCTCACGGATGCGTACAGGCCAAGCTTCACGCCGCATCGCATCTTGGGCGCGCAGTGTGCTATTGTGACGCTTCGCGAAGCGCTCCTCTTGAGCAACAGCATTCAGTCGCACGTGGCCACGACGCTCGAGACACCAACAATTACCAACGTTTAAAGCGGCGACGCCGACATTGACTGCGCGCGGACGACGCTCTGTACACCAAGACGTAGAAGACCATGTGGAGGCGCAGGTTTGTGAAAATCTCGCGCGGAAGTGAGCCGCCGACCCGAGCGCGACAACCAAGAAGGTCGAGAACGACAAGCAAGAGCTCGAGGCGCTTCGGCAGCGCTTGTTGCGCAAGAGCATGCTCGCGGTCACGCCTGCGCCGATCGAGTACAAGGAAGCGATCGCGGGTGACGGCCAACCTCGCGCCGACGTTGTCTTGCGCAGCTCTGCTCCGGTGCGCCCTTGTCGTTCGATCGTCGGTGACCTCGGCTTGCTCTCGACGCTCGTACAGGCTCGCCAAGCGGGCCGAAAGGCCATACGCAAAGCGCCATGTGACGACGAAGGTAAGGGCCGTAAGGCGACATTGGCCGATGCTCTCGACGATTTTTGTCGCTCGCTTTGAAAATGGCGCCGAGAACGAGCCGCATCTCGCCGCTTTCGGACGCGCCCGCTGCGGCGCTGGCTAACGGCATGCAGCAGTTTCCCGACACGATTGCGTCGACGCTCATGGCCAAGTGCGATGCGTTTGGCGCACCGGTCATGTGCCGCCACAATGACATGGAGGCTGACAGAGGCATGCTGGCGCACCTCGGCGCGTGCATGGAGCATGCGCCACGACAGAGATCCTCTCGCGCGACCACGTCATGAGCTTTTTCTCTCGGTTTGTATCACCAACATGCAAGACCCGAACCGCAAGACGACGGACGATATGCAAGCGCTACAGTCGATGAAGTTTGTGCACTTGATCAAAGCGCCATTGTTTGCGCTTGTGATGTACATGCTTTTGCACGGCTTGACAGACCGCATCTCGGAGACGAAGAAGGCTGCACTTATTTTCGACAACATGTGCTCGATGGTCAACGACGCCAAGGACCTCACGCTGTACCTCGTCACCATCTGCCGGCAGACGCTGCTGCTCGCTCGATTCCTGAGTGCCGCACTGTTTTGTCCAAAGCCCGTGGTATGCTCGCCAAGGGCCAGAGCCACTTCGCGCACCTCGTGCCACGGGTAGCAAG